GGAGCACCTTTTATCATGATTTATCACGGACGCAACCGCTAATCGTTATTTTTACGTACACCACGCGATACGAGGCCGACTGACACACGCTCGTCTCCGTTAACGAGCTATAATTTTCGTCGATAGATAAAACGTCACCTGGCTGCTCCTACTATCGTGTTTCAGCCGTTTTCTTCCGTGCAAATTGAAAACAAAGCTCGACACGGTTTTTCCAATGCAAAGTAAGCAAATATCTCATATTTACGATGCAGATTACACGAAAAGTGACACTGTCATTTCTAAATGCTTTCATATCGAAATCGTGATACATATTGTCTTCGAATCGAATAAATGATATCTATTTTCGAGGAGAATTATTAAATAACCGTGTAAATCTATAAATTCCGAGGAAGTTATTAGTATTTATAATCGAGTATCAGTGAAAATTGAAATATTGATAAATTTACATCGTTGCACGTCATATTATATCTTCTTAACATTATCAACCTCAAAATGACTACTTTCGAAAGGGAAGAATAATCGAATTTGCTCGTATTGTTTCAAACTATTTTAAATGAGAAAGATATTTTGTATGGAAATACCAGCTTTTAGCGGGAAAATTGTTGCCGGAGGTTAGAAACCGGTGTCACGTACGAATCGTTGAAACAATGCCGACGGAACGTTGTATCCTCATAGCGGAGGGTTCGTCATGCAAACTACCGTCGTATTATCTAAGTCTATTTTTCACGTTATTAAGCGTATTGTTTTCGCATAAAAGAGGGACTGTGGAACCTCGAAAGAGAGACTTCGAAGGCGGTCTGTCGGTCATTCCGTAGCGTGGCAGGACGGACAATAAGGAGGAAGGGGACTCGAAATAGCTTAGACCTTTTGTCTACCCTTCTCCTTAGTGTAAACTTCTTTTCTATTTGAGAAACAGCGAGGAGTAGCGTATAAACGAAATGTTACTTAATTAGTCGGTGGTTATTGCTTGTAAACATGAATCACTAATATTTACCATTCGTTGTGGACATTTGCTTGTTTATTACTCATTCTGCTTGGTTTCGTAATAAGCATAATGCTGTCTGCCTCGCTTCAATAGAATGACGAAACGAAGATAATTAACGGGTTGAAACAACGATGAT